ACTTGGTCTGGGATGAGACTGAAGAATTTGCATTTCTACAAAGTTCCTAGGGACTGCTAGGTAATTAGCCTGTCTTTGGATACTACACTATCTTGAGCATTTTTTTTTTTTTTGTTAAGGATCTTGCCATAGGGTATGTGCACTTGCTGCTTGTTGGAGACAGAGGGAAAGTGAGAAATCACCCTCTGGGGGGATTGGCTATGCCACAATCCCTTTTCCTCCAGTTTCCTCTTGGGATTTTGGGGAGCATTTTTTTAGACATCAGCCAGAATTAATTTATTACCTATTGGCGAATCTGTCATGATCTTTTAATTTACATCAGAAACTATTTAACAAGTTTCTGATTTGCATCTCCATTAGCTCCTACTAACCTCATAAGAGTAGGCAACCCAATTACCTTCTTAAAAATACAATCTAAATTCTTTTCTGAAAGTTAATTACAATATTTGAAAGTCAACGCGGTCTTTTCAGAATGTCTTCCCTTCTGCTCCAATCCTCATCAATGTCTTTTGACTTTCCAGCATTCAAGGCAGTTTCTATCACTTCTGCATCAATAAGAGTTCTTACTTGACTGACACAGCCACATGCAGTGTATTTTGTCTTGGTTGACAAAATCCAATCAAATAATTGTTTCTTTTCTAAGCTCTATCTGCCCAAATTTCTCTCACTCTTCTCCTGCTATGGTCTAAATTTTTGTGTTCCTCTAAATTTCATAAAATTCATTGAAATCCTAACCCTCAAGACAACGGTACTGTAGGTGGGGCCTGCTGAGAGGGGATTAGGTTGTGAGTCCTTCACCCACATGAATGGAGTTAGTGTCCTTACAAAAGACTTGTGGGAATTTGTTTGCCTCTTCTGCCCTGTGAAGATCAGTGTGAAGACCCTGTTGCGGGTGTCTTTATCTCTCTTACTCATCAAAAATAAATATAAGCTTTTTAAAAAAGGAAAAAGAGAAAGGTGAAATGAATTTTATAACTTGTATTTTTTTTTTAAGTTTTTGATACAGGGTGTCACTCTCCAGAGAGAAACAGAGAGAGAGAGAGAGAGAGAGGGGAAGGGAAAGTGAGAAGTCACCCGCCCCAGGGGGCATGACCATGCCACAGTCCCTTCTCCATTCTCTGCTCTGGATTTGGGGCACACGTGTTCATGTGCCTGGTGTGATTTTCAAGCTGCCCAGTCCAGGACTCAAACTGCACAGTTGGCCAGCACCTTAACCTCCATACCTGCTACCCCCAATAATGGTATTGAACCAAATATAGCCAAAATATTCTCATTTTAATATGCAATGGACAAAAGCCATTAATAAAATAGTTTACTTTTTTTCATAGTAATTCTAAGTCTTCAAAATCTGGTGTGTTTGACACAGTACATCCCAATTCATACTAGCCAGCCACATTTCAACAGCTGCAATGAGGATCAGCAGTTAGCGTAATAGCTATGTCACTGGACTCCCATGTAGTCAACCGTGGTTCGTGTCCTGACCCGGTGGCTTAAACTCATGTCAGGTGCATGTGCGTGTGTGCCCAAGATCCCGAGAGGAGAATGGAGGAGAAGGGACTGCAGTGTGATTTCTTTCTGTCTCTCTGTCTCTCTCTGTCTCTCTGGCAAGCGCACACACCCTGTAGCAAAAACCTCCCAACAAACAAATAAACTAACTAACTAACAAAAAACAGCTGCAAGGAGCTAGTACCTTGTGGGCAGGAGAGTGTGGTTTTAGAGCCTCTGAATTCTCAGAATTTATTCTTCCAGGATAAAGCAGCTAAAAATCACACTATTTTGAAACCCTGTTGGGAATTCTTGGAAAAGCCCCTAAAGTCTATCCTTAACATTCAGATTAAGACTTTTTGTTCTTGGGTTGGCTTCAGAGCCTAGTGGTTAAAGGAGCTGGACCCTAAATTGTCCACTGGATTTTGAATCCCAGTGCTGGCCTTGAAATACGTCCTGGGTGCATGTGCATACATGTCCCTAATCCTGATGGGATGGGGAAATGGAGGACAAGGGATTGCAGCATGACCAGGCCCCACTGGGAGCTGCTCTCTCTCTCTCTCTTCTCTCTCTCTCTCTTTCTCTCTCTCTGGCAAGTGTATGTGCCTCCTGACAATTAAAAAAGAGAGAGAAAAAAAACTTGCACTTAAGAGTCAGAGGAGAATGGAGGAGAAGGGACTGCAGTGTGATTTCTTTCTGTCTCTCTGTCTCTCTCTGTCTCTCTGGCAAGCGCACACACCCTGTAGCAAAAACCTCCCAACAAACAAATAAACTAACTAACTAACAAAAAACAGCTGCAAGGAGCTAGTACCTTGTGGGCAGGAGAGTGTGGTTTTAGAGCCTCTGAATTCTCAGAATTTATTCTTCCAGGATAAAGCAGCTAAAAATCACACTATTTTGAAACCCTGTTGGGAATTCTTGGAAAAGCCCCTAAAGTCTATCCTTAACATTCAGATTAAGACTTTTTGTTCTTGGGTTGGCTTCAGAGCCTAGTGGTTAAAGGAGCTGGACCCTAAATTGTCCACTGGATTTTGAATCCCAGTGCTGGCCTTGAAATACGTCCTGGGTGCATGTGCATACATGTCCCTAATCCTGATGGGATGGGGAAATGGAGGACAAGGGATTGCAGCATGACCAGGCCCCACTGGGAGCTGCTCTCTCTCTCTCTCTTCTCTCTCTCTCTCTTTCTCTCTCTCTGGCAAGTGTATGTGCCTCCTGACAATTAAAAAAGAGAGAGAAAAAAAACTTGCACTTAAGAGTCCTCCTCAGTCTCCACAAAGATATGGTAGGTCAGCTGTCTTCAGCAAACAGTGATGAAATAATCTTTGCTTTTGTAGTATGTGAAAGGCCTTCGATAAGTTCTTAAACATGTACTTTATAGAAAAACTGCATAGACTTCAAAATGTTTGACACAGAAATCAACTTGTACTTCAATCTCATTTTCCACAAACTTAAAGTTTATTATATTCATGAGAGAGAGAACACGTGGGCACATGAGGGAGAGACAGAGAGGGGAGGGTGGGGAGGCACTCGTGAGAAGGTCTTGTCATACACGATCTTCTTCCCCCAGTCCTCCAACTTGTCAGGATCTAAGGTGTATATACACCTGGGATGTTTTGGGTTGACTGAGGATTTGAACCCACAGTCGGCCACGTGGCACTGTAGTTTGGCGTGCTGCTCCCTGCTGCAGTGAGGTTGGGTCTCTGTGACCTTTCTAAGGGTCCTTTGTGCATGTGAGGGCCCACTGACCCATTAGAGCAGCGAAGTGTGGGGTTTCTGCTCTTTCTTGGGATCTTGGTGCTAGCACCCCACACCATTTTACCCTTAAAACTCTTTTTGTTCTTACTTCTTCCATTTAATTCTTCCAATGGATCTAAATGTGGAGGGAAAAGAAAGAAAAATTAAAAAGTGAGAATTGATAGAGACTTCTTGTTCCAGCTTGCCAGATAAACTGCATGGCCTGTGTTACGTGTTCTTTGTATTTGTGACAGGGGTTTATGAATAAGCAAGAAAGAGGATTTGTACTTCAATATCAAAAACCTCCTAATGCTTGGCCAGTTATACTGTTCACTCTTTTATCTTTTACATTGTCCTTCATCAAATCATTTGTCCTCTGGTGGATCCTGACAAAGCGCCTGCACAAAATTAACAGGCATGCCAAGCCTGGATGAGCAAAATTGATTTGCCTATAATCTGTTTGTGAAGAGATCAGGACGTGGTTGAAGTGATTTTAATTTCAGAGCCCAACTCGCTAGTCTGTCTTTTTGTCAGGCAATTAGTTCCACTGGCTGGGCAAGAATGCTGCGATGGAAAGTGCCACGGGGAACCGGGCGAATGGAAACGGCATCTCCTCTTTCGCTTCCTCTGAGTATTCCTCATGCCAGGTTTCTTTTGTCTCTCTGGTTTATTTTGGGTAAAAATCTCTGCTTGGCACCAGCCTCTGTGACTTTCCTAGGGCACAGTGCTGTGAAACAGGTGGAGCCACAAGGACAGGACTAAGGGTCAAATTTCTATGTGGAAGTGCTGGATAAGGACCTGGAGGGAGATAAACAGGAAATCCTAACAGCACTTACCCCTTCCAGATGGTGGCAGTGTATTAGATGCTCACACTTGGACCAGCAGATTGCGTAATGGTTATGTCGCTGGACGCGTGCATAGTCAAGTGCGGTTCAAGTCCCAGACCCGGTGAGTTCACGTGTGTGTGTGCTCAGATTCCCAAGAGGAGAATGGAGGAGCAGGGACTGCCATGTGACCGCCCTCCCCCCACCCCATGATTTCTCACTTTCTGTCTCTTTGTCTCTCTCTGTCTCTCCGGTGAGTGCAAGTGCCTATAACAGAAGTCTCTCTCTCTCTCTCTCTCAAAAAAGAGGAGATCCTCACACTTTATTTTTCAACAATCCCAAGTGACAGTTATTAATAAAAATGTACTCGTTTTGTTGCTGATAAAATTGAGAGGCAGGAAAAGGTTAGTAATTTGCCAAATATGCACACCTATAAGACATGCAGAGTTGGGGTCGAAACATGGGTACTCTTAGTCCCTGAACTTTACTGGCTCATAGAACCCACAGAAACCATTGCCTCTTAGGGCTGGGAAGGAGCAAGGTGGATAAAGAGGTAGATAATAGTAACCTCAACAAGTTACTACTGGACTAGTCAGGAATTACTCAACAAGGTGCTTCCACCCACTTGGGCAGGGACTTTGTCTTTGAAGTATCTGCTGTACCTGATGGAATCTGGTACCTCCAAGGTACAATACAATATAGATACATAGGAGGAACGTCTATATTTGTCAGTGGCTGAAATACATTCGCCCATTTGGTTCTCATAATAAGTATGGGAGGTGACAAGGTAAGGAATTATTATTTTTATTTATGATTATTTTTCATGAATTGAAAGTTGATTTGAACAAATTTCTGAGTTGCTGTTGTTCTAATCATTAGGTAACAACTTAGAAAAGTTGCAGGCTCCTGGAAGTAAGGACCATTTCTTATGCATCTTCAATCTCCTTCCCACAGCACAGAGATGGAACATTTTTATGATCACAGAATGTTCTACTGGACAGTGCTGCTCTCCAAGCAAGGAGGGACTGGTGGGTAGCAATCTAACATACCCTATTTCAAAGCCAGAAGTTGAATATAATGATTTTTAAATAAATAGGTGAATGAATACTATAGTGGAAGTGTTTTCTTAATATAGACTGAGCTAATTATGGTGATCAGTCATAGGTTGAATTAGTGCTTTCCAGGATAGCTGACTCCATTTTTCAAAATGAATCATCAAAAAGAGCAAAACAACTCATTTCTTAAAGATGTCAAAATACAATTTTAAATGTCACATTAAGTAATGGCAAGAACTGGAGTGGATTAGTCAGTGATTACTACTATTTAACAGCAATTTAAAAACAGGACAAGAACCATGTTTGTACCAATATGGCATTTAAATAGTCAAAACTAACTCTACTTAGAAAATGAATTAATTCATATTTACTAATAACATATTTCATTTAGGCTGTACCATTTTTCATGAAGTTTAAAATGAGTCATGGTTATTATTTGAGTTAATATCAATGTCATCTAACTATGCGAGGAGACTGGCATTGGCTTTCAAAACAACAGTAGAGAAACTGAAGGCACGACACGTTAAGGTTTCTATTTACCATGGTGGTCAGACACAGGGTATGATATTCTGAACCCCTTTCTCTTGCCTCGTGATTGTCTTAGTCATACTTTTACGCACATTTGTATTAAAAAAAATAGTAAAGCAGACCCTACAAAGTCTTGACTTTTTGCTCTTCACTTTCCACATAGTGTAGAGTATCTTAAATTGCTAGATACCCTACAACTAGCCTCTTAGGGAATGAGCACTTTTTATCAGTTGAGCATGTTGGTGTTTTATGAAAGCATGATAAAGGCTATGGTCTATTTAACCCCTTTCAGTCCTTACTTTAGCCTTGTCTTGTCTGTGAGAGTGTCAGTCCTTCAGTAAAACGGACCTAATATAGTTTTGGAGGTGAGGCATATAGCTACTGTAAAGTTAGCTGTCCATTCATTTATTCAGTGTTGTAAGGGTTAAGCATTGGGAACACAATGATGAATGCCACCCAGTCCCTGCTCAAGGAGCTCACAGTCTGCTGGGAAGTAGACCAACAATGACCACAAACGGTGATCCGCATAAGCAGGGACTCTTGAAGTCACATCAGTTAGCCTGAAGGTTAAGAAAAGACTTAAGGAGAGTCTAAGGAAAGACATTAAGGAGACCATAGAGAGGCAAGACAAAGAAATGGGTTATTACCTGTGGATGATTATGTGTATAATATTCCAAGTGGACTGGCTAGAAATGTATTCATGTTGGAACATTCACTTTACAAGCTAAGTGATGTATATAGTTGAATGTATAAAAGAAATTAAAATAAAATAAAAAATATGTTTTTTTAAAAGAGAGAGAAAAGACTTAGCAGGAAAACAGCAATAAATAATGTCATGCAGCCTAGATGAGGGCTATTCAGGTGATGGAAGAGAGTACAAGAAAGAGGACATGGCCAAGAAGTGTAACATCACCGAAGCTTAGAGATTCCAGAGGTCACAGAAGGCATTGTGGTAGAATGAGGCTCCTGAGCTGTGCTGCCCAATGTGAAAGTCAACAGCCACATGTGGCTACTTAAATTTACTTTTAAATTAATTCAAATGAAATACAATTAAAAATGAAATTCTGGGGCCAGCAGTTGGCATAATGGCTATGTCACTGGACTCCCAAGTAGTCGACCGCGGTTTGAGTTCCGGACCCAGTGGCTTAAACTCACACCAGGTGCGTGTGTGTGCGTGCCCAAGATCCTGAGAGGAGAATGGAGAAGAAGGGATTGCAGCATGGCCATCCCCCCTGGAGGATGATTTCTCGCTTTCTGTCTCTCTGTCTCTATGTTTTTCTGGCAAGCGCACACACCCTGTAGCTAAAACCTCTCAAAAATAAAATGCAATTCTTCAATTGGACTAGTCATATTTACAGAGTTCAAGAGCCATTTGCTGATGCTATAATATATCAGACAGTGCAGATATGGAATCTTTCTTTCATCTCAGAAAGTTCTGCTGGACATTACTGTTCTAGAGGCAAGTGAAGGCCCATTCACAATGAGCTGTGAATATATGAAGGTCTTTGGACCTTATTCTACAATGACGAGATGCCACCAGTTTCATTTGGAGGAATAGAATGATCGCATTTATATGTTGAAAAAGTCACTCTCAGGGCACAAAAGGCATTCAAGAGACAAGGCTCAGAGTTGGAAAATCCAGCAAAGAGAGTATGCCCTGTTGATATTTATTTAGTGACTTCCCAGCTTTCAAAATTTGGGGCTCTTATTGAATGTAAGTAAGTGCAAAATGTGTGTCTCTTTCATGTGTTCTCCTCTTAGAGAATTTTCTCTGGATTGAATGAAAATTCTCAGTTCCAATTGAGAAAATAATGATAAATCCAAAATTTAATCAAATCTCATAAGTTCATGAAATTTTGTGAGTTGTCAGGAGGTATGCTCCCCCAAACAAAGCCAAACAAAACAAAAAAGCACAGCCCCCCAAGACACTCAGAAGAAATAGAACAACAAATGTGTTTTAATAAAAAATTTTTTATTATGGCTATGTACATCAGTTCCTTGGTAAGCATATAAATGTAAACTTTTATTGTTGGCATTATTTCACATATGGTTTATCCAAATTCAAAGTTAATACTGTTTGAGTGTACAGGTAGTGAGAAAGTTCATTATATTCACAGAATATACATACACGTGCATTCACAAGGTCCCCGGTTAAGCCAGCGGTATGGACACTGTCCCGTTGGCTCTGCTTCTGCTTCGCAGGTGCACACTGGAATCAGTCACGTCATCCACATGCTCCTCACTCTTCTTTTCCTTCAGGCTATTGATGAATCTCAGCGTAATTTCATCCCACTCTTCAGGCAGCAGCATCAGCAGAAAGCCAATGCAGATGATGATGGTAGCGGCCAGGCGGACGACATTGAATATTACCTCTTGCTTCAGGAGATCCACAGCTGAGAAAGAAAAATCAAATCAGTCACAGTCTATGACTGTTTCTAAGCATCTTTGGAAACAAGAGACCAAAGTCAATGTCCTGCTAGAGATTTCCAAAGATTCCTTCTAGCTGGTTTTCCCTTTTTACATATTGCTGTCTATGTTTCTCTTGTATTCCTTATCTATAAATCATTTTTATTCTTCAAAGCTCAGGTCAAATTCCATATCATCTGACTTGATTGCCTCTCCAGGTTTTCTTTTTCCTTTCTCTATTTTTAGTTTCTTTCCCTCTCTCTCCCTCTTTCTCCCTCTCTCTCTCTGGTGAAATAACAATAATGTGACTTATCAAGAAAGAGAGAATGAAAGAGAAAGAGGAAGAGGAAGACAAGCAAACTGGACAGGGTCCCATACCACAATCTCCCAGCCTTCCCAGAAAGCCAAGAGCATGGACAAACATGCCTGCATGTATGGGTTGGTCAGGGAACTGAACACACAATCTTCCACAAAGACCCAGCATCACTTGAGCGGCTTGTTACTGCACTGAGTTAGTACAGCCAGTGTTCTCTCTTAATATTCTTCCTCTGCATCCATTTACCCTTCTCCTGTTTTATTGGACCACTGGAGAGTTTTTGAAATAAGTCAAAGTCATTTGTTTCTAGAACTTTGTACATGCTGTTCTTTTCTAAAATCTAATGAGGAAGAAATTTATATAATACAGAATTAGCTGGTTTAAAATGAACTGAGTGGCACTTAGTGCGTTTGCAATGTTGGCAACGACCATCTTTGTCTGGTCTCCAAACATCTCCATCACTTCAAAATAAAACCCCATAGCCACAGTTATCCTGCTCCCCTTATCTCCATTCCCATTCTCCAGCCCCTAACCAAACCAATCTCATTTTTTCCCCCGCTATGGATTAACTATTTTGGATATTTTGTATAAATGGAATCAATATGTGGACTTTCATTTTTAACTTCGCTCACTTAGCATAATGTTTTTGAGGTTCATCCATGCTGTAGCATGTGCTAGTACTTCATTCCCTTTTATGGCTGAATAACAGTCCATTATATGCATCACAATTTATTTATCCATTCCTTTGTTGATGGACATTTGTGTGTTTCCACTTCTCGAATATTGTGAATAATGGTGCCATAAACATTCAGGTACATGTGCATTTGTTTTGAATGCTTGTTTTCAATTTTGGAGGTATCCTAGGAGAGGAGTTTTTGGTCATACGTATCTTATTCTTTGTGCATGGGATGGGATACCCTTCCCTCCTCATATTCCACATTGTCCAGCTAAACCCTCCATTGGATCTCTCCCTTCAGGCTTCTTGCAGGAAGTCTCTTAGATGCCTCCGTTGAGTGCCCTCAGAATAACTTGTATATCCTCTAATCAAAGCAATTCTCTATGACCATTGCAATTATTCAGTTCCCTCTATGCTACACTGTTCCAAGGACAGGGACTATACCTATTCAAGCTCTGTCATCAGTGTTACACAGCTCCTGTTATATACTAAGTGTAGGAAGTTATCTGTTGAAGCGATGAGGCCATGGGTGAATGAATGTACTTCCTTGACAATTCTACTCCTCTCTGATATTCCTTTCCTCTGAATTTCTTATTGTCCCTGGACTCTGTCTCATACAATTTGGCATTTAATAATAAAGTGTGTTGTAGAGTTCCAAAATGTTTCACATATGATAGTCTTCTTTTCCAAATTCAGCCAGTCAGCTTCTTAAGGGAAGAAAAATGTAATATTTTTTCCTGCCTTTTTTATAACCCTGATCACATAATATGTGCTCCAGAAATATTTGCTGTTGATCCTGGAGGAAACAAAGACTTAGAATATAGAATTTTAAAGTTAGAACTATACAGTCACTCAGATAACCCGTTTTTACTATTTGTTTCCCTAACGGGCTTTGCTAGAAAGATTACTGGAAAAATAGCTTCTCCTTTTGTCCCTGAAGTGAGTCAAATTACTGTTTCCCAATATCTATTCCAGAAGGCCATCTGCTCTGCCCCCAGAAGTTTCCACAGTTCCCCATGGATAGTCTGAAGGGGCGCCAACACCCTATGCATTCCCTACTTTCATTAGTGACGTGTGCTTCAGAGTCCTAGGCTGGGCTGCCTTTTGTTCCCATAGGACTTCCTCTAAAAATACCATGAAATTAGGTTGTCAGGGAGATTACATGAAACCCAAATGATACATTTGGTATTTAATTCTAAAAGCACAATCAAGTAAAAACAGTGTTTTTGTAGCTGCAAAATTTAAATCTGCTGCATAGTTATTCTGTTGTCTGCCACCTTCATGATATTTAAAAACATCTTCTCAGGCAAGGGACATAATTCACAATTGCTAGAAGAAACAACTCAGGGCACACAACAAACCAAAGCAGAAGACTTATTGTGCTGGATAGAATCTGCGTATGTCAGAGAGAACCAGTACCTGCATTTCCAGGGACACTGAGCACTGTCCCAATGGAGATCAGGATTGGGTATGTCAGCACCACACCAACATTCACCAGGATGTTGAAGGCTGTGAAATAAAGGAAGAAATATATATATATATATAAAATGAAGAGGAGTTGATATTCTGGGCTCTCCTTTTAATATAAAAGAAACAGTGTTTTTGCTAACTGTGCCTTCTAAACTGCACTTTTGGTCAATTAATCCTTTAATTTAGGAGATAGATGCTTGTGTGTGTGCATCTTGCCCAAATGAGTCATATTCTTTTTTCCCCCTCAGCTACCCTGGTTGTCTGAGGTCTCGCCAGTTGGCTGGTGAAAGGGGCAAAGAGGTGAAAGGATCAACTTACTGTTTGTTAGCATAAGTAAAAAGGGTGGGGCCAGCCAGCCAGAGGATGGAAGCAGGTGACTGACTAAAATTCAGTGTTTTATCTCTTAGTTACTTCACTAAATAAGGGGATTTCGTGAAGAAATGGAATTAAAGTACAAGTTTATTTTTGTGTAGAAAAATTGAATTCTATGCACTGTTTTTCATAATGTACATTTCTGTAAACTTTTTGAAGACTCCTCATAGTATACCATATTCCTAGAAATGAAAAGGCTCTGATATTACTGCATAAAGGTATGTCTAACAGTTTTGGTTTTATCTCCTCCTTTTTGAGGAGAACCATAGGGACAAACAAGGGTAGACTTGGTATAAGTCACTGAATTCCAGGGACTGTTTGCACATCCTGATTGGACACAGATAACCAAGGGCAGGTACATGAACCAACTGACAGTGTTGCTAGATGCACCTTAACTAATAGCTCAGGACCTCTTTAGTTAAATATAGAGTTAGTTAAAATAATCATTTACCCTCTTCAGAAACTGTCAAAGGTACATGCTTTCAGAAAGAGAAAAGCAATGATAAATCACAGAGCATTACTTTAAT